GATAAAATCATGCTTTCTGTCTGACCCCTCTGTTCCTCTGGTTGGTTTTTATTGTCTTTCCTTATTTTCAGTTCTCCCTCATCTTTCTCTCTTTCCCTTCGTGTCTCTGATTGAAGCCTCCTCTGGTTTTCCTCTCTCTGTTGTTCTGCCTCCAGTTTTTCTCTCTGTGTCTCCTTCTGTGGCATAAACACAGAATAAAGATTGTTTACTTCACCACTGTTTTCCTCTGCTCTCTTTTTCTCAGTTTCTGCCTCTTTCACGTCCACATTTCTCTCCATCTGTCTTTTTTCTACAAGCTGCTCTTGTTGAGTCTCTTTTTCTCTCCATGGTTCCTGATCACTGCTCAGATGAAAAGAAAAATTAAAGGACTTTTCTTCTCCTAATAGCATGGGCTCCTTTTTATGTTCTTCTGTAAATGGTGAAAACTGAAGTCTTGAATATTCTTCAGCCTCCATCAGATCTTCATCCTTTTCTTTCAGACATTCTTGTGGTTCTGTTTGAACTGGCAGCTTCTGCTGATCTTTGGTCCATTGCATGGGTTCATATGATTGTGATGTTGCAGCATATTGACTGTGAGGAAAATTGTCAACGTCCATAAACTGATCATTTTGTTTGTTCACACACTCTTTTACCTTTTAGGAATTCTGATGCTTCCTTGCTTGCATTTTCTCTTCCTTGACTGGCAGTGTGCAGACCCCATGTGGTTTTCTGCTCTGGGTGTCGACCTCCATCTGCTCCTCCTCCTGTCTTTCTTGTAGACAATTTTTTGTTCTTTGATTCTTCCTCTCTGTTTTTTCTTCCTTGCGATATTGTTTTTTATTGTCTTTCCTTATTTTCAGTTCTCCCTTATCTTTCTTTTTTTCCCTTCGTGTCTCTGGTTGAAGCCTCTTCTGGTTTTCCTCTCTCTGTTGTTCTGCCTCCAGTTTTTCTCTCTGTGTCTCCTTCTGTGCCATAAACACAGAATATAGATTGTTTACTTCACCACTGTTTTCCTCTGCTCTCTTTTTCTCAGTTTCTGACTCTTTCATGTCAACATTTCTCTCCATCTGTCTTTTTTCTACAAGCTGCTCTTGTTGTGTCTCTTTTTCTCTCCATGGTTCTTCATGTGTTTCTTGTTTCATTTCAAACTGAGGCTCACTCACAGTCACAGCAGATGTTTTTGTTCCTGGACTGTCAGTGTTGCTCCTTTGCTCTGTTTCTTTCGGTTTTTGTTTTTTATCATGATCATTTCGTTGTGTCTCTTTTTCCTTTTCTTCTCTTCCTGTCATGTCTTGTGTTTGTTCTACTGTAATCAAAGACTCTTTGTCACTAACAGTTAATGGATTTATTCTCTTTTCTTGTGGCCTGTCAGTGTCCCTT